CTACCTTGTTTTTACCTGTATTCCACGTGTACGCGCATTTTTCTTTTGTTCTAGATATTAGAGTAAAAAAGCATATCTGATTGCACAATGGCCTAGAGCCGTTCCATTCTGCGTACGCTGCCCCCGATATCATGCGAGACACTAGAATTCCTCTAGAAACCACGAATGCTCAGACATGCTCTCTTCGATACGTGTACGCGAGAGAGACGGCGATACAGTGCGAGAGAGATATGTTGAACCTTAAGAGAATCGGCGCCATTACGACATGCGCGTCTTGCAAAAGCGTCCAACAACGGTACGTCGGCGAGGCTGACCGGTCAGTCGCACACGCCATTCCGCGAAAGTCGAAAAACGCATCCCGCGTTGCGTTCCGTTTATGCGTGTTCACGTTACGGTAGTTTCTTTCTCTTTTTTGGGGGGGTTCTCTACTAAGCCGTGCAACCACCCGCAACGACTTGCTGGCACGGAATAATCATCCATTCGACACGGCACCCTCCTCGGTACGTCGAAAGGAGGAGAGGTGCACGGGTAACCTAACCTCTTCTCTCTCTTTCTCTCTCTCTCTCTCTTTCTCTCCCTCACCACCCGTTTTCTACTCCTTCCCTACCAACGGGTGGATCAAGGGCGAGAGTCATCGGTGTGTCCCACTTCGTCTGCCGCGATATCTGCTTCGTATGTTCTCTCCCGATATTTCGCGTTCCCCTCCCCGGGGAGTTCCCGGTATGTCGAGGATCGTCTCCCTTCTTTCTTGACATACCCCTACCCTTTCGAACTTGCGGCACACGCTTACGCACCTACACACCGGTCTATCCGTTCCTTTCCGTCCTATTCTCGCGATATTCCGTGTATCAGTGTGAGAAAGAGAGTGAGCTCGGGCTCTATTTCGCGGTGGATTCCCGTTTTCCCACCTATGGGTTCCCCCCTACCCTTGTCGAGTGCTCCTACCCCCTACCCCTGTGGAGGCACCGTCATGGTGGAGTGGGGTGCAATCCTGGGCCACTTCGACGACTATCCTCCCTGCTCCCGGATCCCTTTGAGCTGGGGAAGGGGGTGAAGTGGGGGATCTCTCACCCCACCCCCACATACCAACACATGGTCAAGAGGTTTGAAGTTAAAACTTTGACTGACTGTGGGAGGTGGCGCGGAACACTCTTGATGTTTCAACTTCTCACCACTTTCGTGACTAAATGCTGCTTGCGCGGGTGCTGTTACCAAATACACCCGTGTTTCGAACACGGGCAGAACAAGGGGTGGGTAGCGGTGGCGGCAGGCTGAGAGTCCCCATTCGAACTGCTGATCGTCGTATCTTTAAAACAAATAAATTATCATTTCACTTTCGTGCGCCACACTGCTCAACCTTGATCTTGATTCGTTTTTATTACAAATATATACGATACGAACGGGTATGAATGAATAGAGAAACACACACACACACACACACACACGCACACGTGACTCTTTTTTTGCTAGTCGTTGTTCTATCGAAGAAACGTATGTAACTGCTTTTTAACAGCAGTCGTGTACAAGTCCTCCAACCACCTGTGGCTAATATCGAGTACAGGAAGCGAACATAGAAAATGGAATACAACAGAGTTAATAGCATAGGCAATGAATAAAATGGGATCGGATTAAGTGAGAAATAAAATATAGTATCTTTAGATTCGATATTTCTGACTTATGACACACATGATATTCAAAATTGATTGGTTTTTACCTACTGGTTTATTGACTCACTGTTTGTTTTTCGTATTTAGCAAGCGTACGATCGTGCACAGGCCATGATGTGTATTTACTTTACTTCGGAACATGTCTCTGCTGGAGAAACGTTACGGGATTAGAGAATACTTGTGAATTCTATGAGAGCACGGAATATCTTTTGAAATAGTTTCAAGTATCGAAGGTCAGTGCACTTCGACAGCAATACTCATACGTCAGAGTGAGTGTAGTTGTGTAATATGATATGTAAATGCGTATCCGTTGTCAAGTGTTCTATATTCTATTTGCTTCTTTCGTGTCACGCAAATACGTTTCGTTTAAAGAAAATACAATTTGAAAAAAAAACATATATTTTCAATTATATGAGATGTTTAGCGTTCATTTTATAACGAACTAATATAATTTTATTTATACTTGTAAAATGTGATAAGTAATAACGACATTTGATTTTGAGAAACATAGGTGAAAAAATATTGTAGTCCGCTTTAAACGTTCCTTGTGTTGTCAAACAAAATTAATCTGAGCGATCGATCGATTTCACACAACACACACGAATTATATATATATATATATATGATATGTATATGTATATATATGTATATATATGTATATATATGTATATATATGTATATGTATATATATGTATATATATGTATATGATATATATGTATATATGTATATGTATATATGTGCCAATACTAATTGTATTCTGTTTAACTTTCAGATCTAATCGTGAAAGATGAATTTCACACCTTTCCCCGGCTTTACAACAGGCTCGCTACCGACGGGCACGGTCCATCAGTTTGCAACTGCTAAATTCGCGCAAAATCTACCCACCGGTGGTCAAGTGGTTGGCGTTTTATCCGGTGGCGAAGGTGGCGTTCATTATCTGAGGCCGGTCGATCCGAATGGGTTCGCGGTAGCACAAGGGGGTAACAACCAGCAACAGCAAATTATCACGCTGCCAATCACTGTACCTGGAAAAGATGGAACACAACAGCAGCAAACCGTCCAGATCCAGGTGGTTAATCCCAGCGTGTCGCAAAGCGGGAATAGCGGTGATCAGCCCAAGTATCATTTGGCTCCAATATCTTTGGGACAGTTTCCCCAAGGGGCAGCAACAGTGCTTACAGTTGCATATAGTCAACAAGGCGCAGATGGGGTACAAATTCAAGTTCAACCACAGAACACCGTGGCTACGACGCAAACGTAAGAACCATCGTTTCACTTGTTAAACTAGTTCTCTTTAACCCTTTCGCTACAGCAGTGTGCTCCGTCGGAGCGACACCGCTGTACGGGCCACTGTGCCGCCGGA